CCCCCGCCGATCTTATCTGCCTCTTCTCCTCGGTCCTTGTCGACTCGGTATGCATTCATCCCGCCTGCGCCACGAATGTGAGTAATGCTTTTATTTATCAAACCGTCCTTTGTTAATGAATTGAACGTGGCCATGCTCCCGACCGTCCCGAGTCCCGGACTCCTATAACCCCTTACCCGCCCCCCCTCCCCACGCCCCTTTGCCCATTCCAATCCACGATCAGTTACCCCTCTCCCCACACGCTATCTGCCACTATTCCTTCGTGCATATACAGTCACTATATACCATCGAGTACAGGTCCTCCAAGGGACGATATTAAACATCAGGCTCACTAGGTGGTTAGGTGGACTGCCCCGAGGTGGGGACACGACATTACGGCAAAGTGGGGACGACGACGTCTCGGAGCTTGAGAGCGGACAGGCTTTTCGAAGTTTTCCTGAAGGATGCCGTCGATTCGTGAATAGCGATGATAATAATAATAATAATATGCATAGATACCAAAAAAAATGCATCGTACAAAGGAAGATACATATATATATAGCATCCTGAGATACAGTCGCTCTATAGACATATGGTGTCTGTATATACTGTGAGATACACGGTAGCTATATACAGTACCAGCGCGTAGGTAAGTTGACGGGTGAAGGGAGCGACGACCAGCGTCGCGACGCAGATCTAATTACCAACGGGCGAGTGAGCGCCCGGTCGTGTGTAGGATCCCCTTAGGGACGGCCGGCGTCGCTCGGTGACTCTGCTGGTACGAATGGGGAGGGGAGTGGCGTCGCGGCGGGCAATTAGGCGCGCGTCGCCCGCGTCGCTTTACCCTTCTCTCTGTCCCTCTCTCGTCCTCCCTTAAGAGGGATACCAGCAGCCTCTCCGCCCTCTCTCTCTCTCTCTCTCTCTCTCCTTCCCTCTACACATCCTTACTCCCTGGAACCATTTGAAGCACTGACACAGGTACTCGCTCACTCAGTCACCCACAGACACCGACCATCCCCCCCAACCCCCTTCCACTCGCCGATCCTCCTGACCCCCCCAAGGCACCCCGAGGACCTTTATAAACTCGCACAAGCGGGCGGTTTCTACACCGGTCCCGCTAATTGACTCACGGTCAATATAGTAATTTACTCGACACCGCCACCGGACCTTTTTCGCACGAGCAGCAAACAGCTCCCTATATTATGTATATATACATATACATATATATATATATGCATGATTGAATTTTACGGGAATTTCTATGCGTTTTATTTTTACGTTCTTATTTTTATCCTTTCGCCCTATCTCTATCTCGCTCTGTCTTTCAAACTCACGTGACTTCTCTCGCACGCTCCAGCGATTCCATTGCGATTCCTATATGTATATAGAGGCATATATATACATATAGTATCCGGTACTACGGCGTTATCTCGTTCGTCCTTATATGTGCGTATAGTATGTCGCGATAGTATCGCGATCGTTGATAGTTCCCACGAGCTTAATGACGTTAGACATTTTCCCTCAATGAGCTGCCGACAGCACAGATTGCATAACGAAAGAGTCGGACAGCACGATAATACGAATTAGTTTCCTTAAATTTAACGTTGAACTACATGCTTTTTTTTAAGGAATTTCAGATGATTTTCATGTTTTCGCGTTAATCCACGTGTCAACGTTCTAATTTAATCATCTATATTTTCGTGTTGGTGTAATTAACGAATATGATAATTTGAGATATCGATTACTCGTTACGAGATAACCTAGGCGATTACGCGATTCGTGATACCGATAAGAAATGATTTTTCATGTGTACCTGCCAGTTTTCGTGATGATCATTTCGGTACCGAGCTCGTTGAACTTATCCCAGAGTTCCTTCGTCTCCAAGTGACACACCACGTGTCGCAGTTCCTCGCAGTTCGAGCGTTCCTGAAGCAGGGGATTCGTGGGCGAGGTGTTTTTACCACTGGTACTTCCGGCGTCGTCGGTTTCCGGCTCGTCCTCCATGTCGGCGGATTCCTGCGTCGACGCTCCCCTAGCGACGCCCGAACCACTGGCTTCCCTTTCTGAGACAAAAGGAGAGAGGCATTTGGTGGAAGTCAAAGAAAGAAATGACATCGTCCCGTCATCGCATCCTACTTCTTCTGTGGTAGGCTTTGTTTTCATTTTTTTCTCGTTTAAAGCCTTTTTTATTGGTATCCAAACGCCAAACTACCGACGGGCAACCCATTAAAGCTACCGAATATCCGTCGCTTTCATTTCCGCTTCCTGTGACTGTGTATAAATGATACATAAAAATATCCACGTACAGCCGCGTTTGTAAACCGGACGATTTTTCACGAAAATTCGTACTGCGCGCCGATTTCATCATGGCGTCTGAAAATAGTGAAAACGTTGAGTCACGCGGTGGGCCGAGGATCGTTGGTATTTAAAAGAAACAATGTAAATAAATAAGAAACTGCTTTACGAGTGGTAATGGCGGCGCTAGTAGTTTACGAGTAATACGCCGGAGCGTCGTCAGAGGATTCACAGGTCTAATAGGTTAGCGTAAGCCCACGGTGTCCCAGGATGCACTTCCCTGTCTCTGTTACGGTAGCCATACGGAGGTAGGTGGTATTTTGATTCGGGAGCGAATGCAGCGCCACGCCACGAGTCGGCGTTAAACGACTGACGAAACGAACGACGATGCGTCGGAACTTTCAGGGCCTGTGAAGCTCCGCGGGTAAAATTTATGTCCGACGTCGCGACGTCTTTCTTCTTCCTTTTTTTTTTTTCTCGTTTTTCCGTAAATCCCGTTTGTCGTGTATATTTTTTGCTTCTCTCTTTTTGAATTTCGCGCGCACGCACGCGGTCGCGACTGACTTGGGAGTCAACGCTGGGAACGGATCAAAGAGACTCGAGAGATGCATCAACCGCAGTGACCAACGACGTCGACGAGTATATCAGAAAAAATTGTAAAGAATTAAGTGAAACGACGCTAACGTCTAATTACTAAAATTTTGTATTTCAAATATAAAAGTCCGATATACGCGTGTCGTTTGGTTCTCGTGTCAATCTCGAGCGTCCAGCTGCTCGTTTGTACAATTAGCGGCAATGAAGTAACTGTCAAAGATACGTAAAGCAGATAGGGTTAAAGGGGGGCCGAAAAGGTTTAAGAAGACAGGCGAGCCGTTAATATCGTAATAGACCGCCTACGTGGGGAAAACTCGTGTCTAAACGAAAAGCCGTGAAAGCTGCCGTGATGAATTTACGAGGAGCATCGTCGTGGCAGGAGTGTCCCAGACAGTGGGAAAGAGTGAAAGAGTAAGAGAGAGAGAGAGAGAGAGAGGGCTCGCCAGCAAATTAATAGTCCTCCCAAAGATTTCGAGCAGGGAGGTCTGTTAGCCTTCTTGTTCCTCTTCTTCATTTCTTCTGCCGGCATTGAATGGCACAGCGACGTTCACGACACAAGAGTTTTGCGAAAAAATCATAAATTCAAGGAATGCAACAAAAGTTCGTCATTTTCTTTCAACAATCGAGGAAAAAAATAAATATATTTTCAAATAATTCAAATAACTTCAAAATGACCTTGTCAAGGTGAAGCGATACGAATAAATACCCAGAAACCATTGCTAACCGTCAAAACAATCATGGCTGCCGATCGTTACGAAGATAGAGCAATGGGATAGTCAAAACAATACTAGAGGTGGAGTGGGTGGGTCGTCCCGAGTCCAGCAGCGGAGGCACTAAAAATCCAGGTATCTGTATAGAGATGTAAGTGGGCTGGCAATGTGTGACACAGGAGACAGACCGCCGACCCAGAGTATCCCATGGCAACACCTACTGGAGGAAGAAGTAGGAAGACGAGATACCGGATGCCGATATGTTAGTACCTGAGGAGGAGGCTCCTTTACTAGACGATCCGACCCCATCAGCCGACTACCCTAACTGGTGCTACTATATACGGGCGCTATCTCCCCCGGTCATCGGCGACTCGCTGGTTGGTTGTTTACAAAACATTACAATTTACAGGGACCTACACGAAAAGCTATACCATTAATTTATTAGGCGTAGCAGTATAAGGCTCCCCTCGCTTGGACCAACGTGAACGTCTAAGCCGGCCACTCCTCTCTACCTTTGTATTTATCCTCTACCTTCCTTCTCAATTTGACACCATCGCTTCCTGGCTTTAAGGACCCTCACGAACTATTGCGTACCCTTACCAACTTTGCCGAAGGTAGCCCCCCTTTCTCTTCACGCCAATGCAAACAACTTTGTCCGTCGATTCTAAAACGCTACTGACCTTATGGATTCGGATGACTGATGAAGCCGTCTGATACTTTTGAATTCATTGATTTTATTTATGAGAATTTTCATAATTCAAATACGGCTTATCACCGTATTATTTGTATTAAATAATTTAGTATAGATACGCGGCATGTATCTTTAATAATTTTTATTTCGTTTTTATCGATATGCCAATAATAATTACTATTACTAGAGGCAGTATTAATGTTCTTCTGAATATCGAAAAAAAGATCAATGCTTCGAGCACGCAAGATAACTAAAATTTAATAATATCAAGATATTTAGAATTTGACGTATGAAATCGTCGATCGGATTATTGTGCGGGAGGGTTATGCTTAAATTTTTTGGAAGTTTTACGCGAGAGTCGAGATCCTGTAAAATCTTAAAAGCAATATTCCATGTCACGCAAATTGTAATACAGAAATGACGCCGGTGGAATGCGTAATTCCGTAATATTGATTCGCGGGAGGTGAGATGACGGAATAATTTATTTGACAGAGAGCGACGACCGGATCATTGAGAAAAATTGTTGGCTCGAGAATATAAGGTAAATACAATCCGAACTGAGAGTCGAGGTAATAAATAAAATCATGAACAATTATTAATATTCTAACGCATGGATAACCAGTAGGTATATTATATGCCTGTCGACTGGAAGTCAACACTTTTGTATTGGTAAAAAATCCTCCCGATAATTTGCGTCAGTCAAAGATACCATAATGTCATAGGACTGATAGCGGGTAATACAAGCAAAGTTTCCTACTGTACTGACATCGTGTTAAAGCTGTTAATTATCTTATTGGACTGAAAGAGAAAGGCTAGGAGGGGTCTCCGTGTATCGTAAAGCGTCCGTCGGTGACCAGTCTATTCCCATTTCCATAGCCTGGGTTCGTTTGTTCGATTGGGAACGATTAGCGTTACCCAATACGATCATAATGATCGAGGGTATAAGTAATTGCCATTGATCGGTTGATAAGAGAAATTAAAAAAACAAAGGATGAGATTACAGAGTCAGCAGTGTTGTAGGTGAGTGCACGCACAGAGTATACACACTCACCTACGTCGCCACTGATACTATGTTTTCATTCTTTATTTTCATTACGTATACACTTACACGTTTGGTAACCACGAGTGTATTGGTATAGGAGAAGAACGTCGACTCACCGTGCTGGTGAAGTTTTCCACCTCCCACGGCCTGCTGTTGTTTATGATGATGATGGTGATGATGATGATTTTGCTGTTGATGCCTGGAGTCGCGTGCCATAATAGCGGCAATGCTAAAGTCCGTGGCGCACTGTTGTCTATTGGAATTGCAATTGTTATTGAGATTGTTGAGAATGCTGGAATTGGGCGATGGGCTGGAGCTGTCGTCGGGATCGTCCCTGGTGCAACGCGGAATCCCGGTAACCGCGGTGGTCGCTTCGCCCTGCATTTTGCGACGGATGATAAAAGAGGATCGAGAGTCCTCGTCGTCCTCGTCGTCGTCGTCCTCCTGATTCTCGCGATAATCGCGATCGTCGCAATGCTCGTGATGGTCGAGCTTGGTGACCGTCGGTCCGTGTCTCTTCCTTGCAGGGATTCCTCGCGACTCCAGCAACATTACGCGTTTACGAGAAACTGGGGCGACAGCCCTGTACCTGTAGCACTCGCGTTTAACTCGACGAACGTGGTGCTGCCGTTAAAGCCGATCCCGAGGACGATGACGAGCAGAGTCATCGTAGCCGCCGGTGAGGACGGCAGCCGTGAAGCATGGCTCACGAGGCAATACGTAACGGGGTGTGCATGCCCTTTTCCTTGGGCACAAGCAGCACCAGCAGCAACAAACCCAGAAGGCACCGAACAGCAACAACGAATACCGGCGCACAGCTTGGTAGTCCCTTTGAAAAAGGTCACAGGGATAGTCGCGAACGTGCGGACAGACGGACCGAGTAACAGACCGAGTGCCTGACAGACTGACCTCCACGGCTGGGAGATGGTTCTTGGTTGGGCCCCCACCTCGGTCGTCTCCTCGAACCAAGAGAAGTCTGGATGGGCGGAGTCTATTAAATCCAAAGCCACGCCCCGTGGTTCCAGGCCACCAAACCGCCGCCTAGTCACGCCCGAGAATCCGCTCTACCAGCACGCGCTCTTTCTCTCCTCTCCGATAGAGTAACGTTATTACCCGGGTAGCCTCTCTCGGCCAGGGAGAGCCGGGTTGATCGGGAGAGCGAGAAAGAAAGAGAAGGCCGCATAAGTACGCGCCAGAGCCCAGGTACCAACTGGGTGGTGGGAGGCAGCATGTATTATGGTATCGCGTACGCGCCATCCAGGGCAGCTGCCATTTTTTCTTACGAGAGGGGGCAATTGCTGACAGGGACCGCTTTCCCTCTGGCCTGGCAAGCTACGCTGCCTGAGTAGCAATTTATTGTTTTACTGTCGGACTTTAAAACGCGACCGGCCCCACGCCACTAAGCACCCGATGCTGGCTGCCTCGATGGGTGGCTGGCTGGCTGACTGGCTGGGTGGGTTCCCGTTCTAGCACGGTGGGGACTGCGGGTTCGCGAGTGGGGACACTAGGAACCTACGAGAACCAGCAAAACTCTCGACGAATTCGCCCAGGGATACTTTGCTCTATATCACTCTACCTTTTTTTCTCAATCTTATCCTATCGCCATCTTTCTCTCTCGTCTCTCTCAAATCTCCACGTACATCCTTTACTCCTAGTGCATCCTCTCCCGCGTCCACGCTGCGTGGCGTCCAGTACACTTTTTCCAAGCCAGCCGTACCCAGCCCGCGATACCGATGCACAAGTAGCCAGCTGTAAGACTGCAATTACAGAAGACATAGGCGGCGCACAATTGTTCCGCGTGGCGGCGCCACCGTAGCCGTTCGAAATACCCTCGCACGATTAATTCTCCGAAACTGCGTATTACAACCAACAAAATGGCGACGCTCTTAAACGATTTAACCTAATGCCATTAATTTTCATCCGACATCCACCAAACCGGATGCCAATGCTGGTACCGGGAAAGCGAACCGAACGTTCTCCAGGGAATCGGAAATACGTTTAACACCGACTCGTTAACTCACCTCGTTACTCTAAACGTCAGCGTTTTCGCGCTTTGCCGAGCGAACCTAAACGGCATTCGTGCACTTTAATTTAACTTGAAACATAGTAAATTATCCTACCGCAACCATAATCGAGTCCATGAAAAATTTTATTCTTCCTCCGTTCGTATATGTACCACTGTAAATACCGATACTATTAGTAGGTGGCGCAGACGCACTGAAATTTTCAACCAGAACCCACCCGAGTAACTAGCGGCCCTCCTTGCGCGTAAAACGCACCCAGAGATACACTCTCGAACCGCAAATCCTTTGAAGTGGTTTCTTCGTCCGGACCCACTGCAAACATCAACGGGTTCACCTGACCGAATTACACCCGATAATGATAATACTCACCAGCCGCGTGACAGAGGGGCGTACGAACGAACGACCGGAAGTGGCTGGCGGCGCTCTTTGATTCCGACGCGCTTTTAGACGCCAAGATACTGTCGATTATACACGTGTTACCGACGCGTCTTGTATTTTGGTTACGTGCCGACAGTTGTTCATTTAAAAAATTCTACGCCACCGTGACGATCCGTGTAACCAGATGGCAGTTTCCCTTGACGAGAAAAAAAAATTAATAAATTACTCAAAAACGATTTTGTATCAGAATAATAATAACGATAATAATGCCAATCGTATTTTACGTACAAGTATAAAATACAATTTTTTTTTTTTCGCTACTATATTAAAATTTTGTAATTCCGTTATATATCGTACACCCTATAGAATTCATACCCATAGCCATGTATTATTCAGTCATTATCAGTATTGTACTGGACTGTATCGATATATGACTTCTATCCCAGAAATATATATATACCCGCAGTCGTAGTACCCATAGCGAAAACCCATAGGATAAATGACTTTTCCCTAGGGGGTTTATCAAGGATGCCAAAGCAAGAAAGATTCAAGTCAATCACATCTTTTCTTACAGGTCGTTCGACAAGATGGACATTATCCCTGTCTTGCTGCTCCTCCCTTGTCCTCCTACGGATGCTGTGCTTCGTTTGGGAGTGGTAATCTGCTTAGGTTGACGCTGATCCGGACAAATCGCTGCGCGGTTACGCGGCATTTATGTTGGTACTGCGTCTTGTAGCCAGTTGCTACTTCGATTTGGCCACCGTTCGATTCCATTAGACGTTTCGTGTTATAGAGGGTATATATGTATGTATATAGTGATTTGATGTTCCTAGTACTAACATGATATATATATATATATATAAACATACGTAGGTCATACGTAATCAGATACGACGTGGTTGATAATCAATTGATCAAGAAACTATACCTATATATAGATAGTACCTGTCGATCGCGTAAGAAAAATGATTGAAATTTCGAAAAAATTGCAAATTTCATTGTGAACGTCCCTTAACCTTAGATCTTGGTGAAATTTCGTTTTTCGTAAGCTCGCGAGGACGCGCGTATGTATGGCTGTTCTTGAGGGAATAAAAGGAGGGCGTATACCGTATAGAAAAAACAAGAGAAGGATGTTGAATGGGGAAAGAGGTTAAAGAATGGTTTCGGGATAATAACCGTGCTATTAACGATGACCGTGCAATCGACCTAAGTGCTCTGTGTTTTTCGCAGTTCTTTATCCCGACTTTCGGCGCCGCTGCGTAAGAGCCATATTTACACGATATTTTGTGATTTTGACCATTCCCAGAAACGATTACGTACCGTGTAGAATTATTGTATGTGTCTTATGCGGTAGAGGCGTTGGGACTTAGCGAAGTATCTTCATTACTTTGGTCTTTGATAAGACTGTACGCGGTTACAATTTTTAATGGGACACGAGACAGGAAATTGGTCGAGTATAAAAAAAAAGTCGGGGTAGGTAAAAAAAATTTTTTGATATGATACTGCGGTTGGGTTTTTGAAAAAAATTTTTCAAATTAAAAAAAAATTTTTTTTTGATCGGTGTCTCATGGTCACGTTAAGGGTCGAGTCGAGGGCCGGGAGAACATTCTAATGGGAAATCATCCTCTGTCCGTGAACGTCATTGATATTTGTCTCTGAAGAAATGAAAGGTGATCGTTTTCAAAATGGCGCTCAGGTAAGAGGGTGTCTGGGGTAATGTCTCGTGACAAAGGACCCCGGGCTACACCCTTTTACCTTCCACCCTTCGGTTTTATGATTGACGGCCCTTGTTCGATATTGCCTTGGATTTTTCGAAGGCGCTCTTGTTTGGTGCCCATGCGACTTGGGCATCTTGCTTTGGTATTTTATAATATTACAAAAAGGAATAACGACAATAATATAGGCCAGAAAGCTAAACAGGCTCGCGTGACGGCCGCTACGTCCAAACAGTACAGACCTTTGATGGTTTGCCGCTTGCATTCAGGATAATAATGCCAGAAGCATTTTCGAACTTGGACATGGACACATTGGACTCGTCTTAGGCAACGTGTCAATGTTTTTTTTTTTATTATTAGAAAAGCGATGAAAAAATTTTGGAAAAATTAACGACCCGTATTTTTTGAAAAATAATCGAAATTTTTTAAACATTTTTTTGAACCTCGAATTCGTATACCTAAGTATACAGCTCGTCGATACACTTGACAAGTACTTTATTCGATTTTATTATGAAATTAATCGATTAATTGCTTAATAAAATCTGGTATCACGATAAAGTTCGATAAAATCGATTCTTGTTAATAATTATTCTCGTAATTGGAATAATTAGTATTGACATGCATAAAGTGTCAATAACAGTAAATGATCTATTTGCGGATAGATATAAGAATAAAAAAAATAAATTAATAAGGTAAACGCTAATAAAAAAAAAAAAGTCAAAATTTATATATCCAATATAAATAAATATTTTGTATTCACTAAGCGAGCCAATGTTCGATAAAAAGTCTCTAATAACTTGTATTTATTTTTATAAAATTTTTCGAATTTCCCAGTAAAATTATATAAAAAGAAAAACTCGAAGAACGCCATCGTATCGCACGGTCGCTCGACTATTTTGGATTTCAAGTATCCGATTGGTGGCACTAACCGTTCTCAAATCGACCCGTCAAAACTGAAATGATGGATCGGCCATACTACGATTTAGGGATCGCGACTTGGCGGTATAAAACGGCACTAAATCGCTGTTTGCCAAAGCCAAAGCCAAAGCGAGAGTCGGAGTGCACATATACAGGCAAAAAGGAAAAGCAAATTCTCCAATAGGCGGCGGACCTTTTGCAACGAGTTAATTTACCGTCACGAATTTACAAAGCGACTAAATAGCGAGCAGCGTCAATAACGTGCGCAGCTAACGTAACCTAGAGGAAACAACCCACGAATTCAGGAACACAGCAATGAGCCAAGGGTGAATCTTCATATACTATATATATATATATATATATATATATATATGCATATACGATAAGCTAATGGTACATAGATTCAGATATATTCACGTACAGTAAAAATTGGACATTTATTAAAAAATGGTTTAAACGACCACCGCGATTGTATATCGTATTAAGTATACAATATGAAATTTATTATTATTTATTTAAAATCGTAATTTAATTTTAATTACCACTGGTGAACGCCGAATGGGTGGCTGGGTGGCTGGGTGGCTGGATGGCTCTTTCTCTCCATGTAGCCATTACCTCTTGGCCGATCGATCGATCCGTCGAGGTCCGTGTTTCGCGCTTTTTGCATCGAAATTGCGCCTGAATTGCGAGCGACCCATGAACGGGACGAACGTGCGCAGATCCTGGGCCCTTCGGGACGAATACGATGTAAATAAATGATGAGCTGCCCTTAAGGGAGCCTTCTTCTGCCATAAGACGGTGGGGGTAAGAAGTGTTATGAAAGATAATTAACGTCCGCCGCCACCGACTCGCGATGATTACAGGGCGGTGAAGCAAAACTCCTCGTGATGGGGATTCAGATAGATTTCCTTGCTACGAGAAGCTTCCCTTCCATCGTCTTCGCTTGCCCTGACCCAGCCCTACCTCTCTCTCTCTCTCTCTCTCTCTCTCTCTCTCTCTCTCTCTCTCTCTCTCTCTCTCTCTCATAGCTACCATCTTCCTTATCTTCTTACCCGCTCGCTGCATTGCTCCCTTTATACTCATCAATTCCATTCCGTAATACCTTGTGAGCATATATATATATATGACCTATGCATCCACCATCTCTGTTTTACCATACCGATAACCCCTATGAAATTTTCTACAGGCGACGGTACGAAAATTTCACAGTGCAAATACAGAAGTGTAGAAGAACGGCCGAGAAAGGAAGATCCAATGGGAATCGATATGGGAAAAATGATAAATCAAATATCCCATATGAGTTCCAGCACGTATCTATATAGGAATTACGTGGAATTAGAGGAGAAGAAAAGTAAAGCGGAAGTAGGAAAAGTCTGGCAATAGAAACAATCCGGTACGATGAAAAGCTCGTGGCTTGACCGGAATACGTATTTCCTTAGAGCCTGGGTTCAGTTTTGGCTATAGGGATGCGGGTACGATAAAGGGTGGTATTTCTTATCCGGCCGGGATAGGAGGGTGGTATGGCAATAGAAATGCCAGAAGTCAAGACCTCCCCCTTGGCAACCCCCTTCTAAGAACGTAAGCTGCCGGCAGGCAACACGTGTGTACGTACGTGCGGCCACGTTCCTCCCAGAGCCAATATAGCGGAAGGCACGAAAAGCACGAGGATCGTGAGAGGAGGAAGGATATGGAAT